CGTTTCCCCGCGGTGACGCCCCGTCCTGCGGCCAGCCGTCGGGCACAAGCGTCGGGAGTGTTTATGGGAGCACTGGGCCGAGGCTGAGCTCCACGTGATGGGTGAGCCAGATGACCTCAGAGCTGTGATCGCTGTCCTCGCTGGGCCGGATTGGAGCAGCCAGGTTTTTAAACTCGTGCTTCATCTTGAAACTCACGGTCACTTCGCCCTCTTCTTTCTGTGGGGTGACCTTGATGAAAACTCCGACCTTATTAGCTTTTCTGAAGGCAATAACGCTGCAAGGCAGAAAACAAAAGAGCGCTGGGTCAGCCAAGTTCTTAAACAATTGCTGTCAGAGATTTGTTCTGACACCACAGAGGAGGGATGCTCAGTTTACAGCCCGTGGGCTGAATATGCCCTGCTAGGAATGCTGCCCTGCTTTGTGACTTATTCCCCGCTGCTCCTTCTGCAGGGGCCCGCAGCCCCTCCTGCCCCACGACCAGAGCGTGGGTACCCCCACTCTATGCTGACGGCTTCTGGCACATCCGCCAAGCAGAACATGCCCGCGTTGGCCACGGGAGCTGTGTACCCAGCTGTGCAACAGGGAACGGCCGTAGCTTACAGCTCGAGTTGCTCTAAGAGGCTGCCAGAACGTATTCTGTTTTGGGGGCAACTCTGTCACACACCCCACTGCGTTCTTCTCACCGCTACTGTGAACCCTCTGCTTGCAAAGGAAAGGATGACACAGGGTGTTCCTGGAGGGAATTAGTACCACCACCTACAAGTCAACGGCTATAAGAATGCATCTTGCCTCAGAGGGAGCACACTTCTACCGAGTAGTCCAAACCACAAGCAGAAAGATTTGCATTGCTGATCTCTGACCCCACCACCACTACACCCAAGAAAACCTGAAAAAAGCCCCAAAATGTGCTGAAGACAGAGAGGAGAGCAAATTACTCTGTTGAAGTGCCAAGTATTTAAGGGAAAGGATCTCCACAAGACAGACAACACTCACTCCGGGTCATCCTGGAAGTCTTGGGGCTCTGCCAGCTCATCATATTCCGCGGCGGCATCTTTGCCGGCCAAAATAAGCTCCTTGGGAGGAACTACCACCTGAAACAGAGCACGAAGAAAAAAATCCTCTTAGCGCTGATCACTACATACACTGTGAGGAGCAGAGAGCCCACCCTTTCTGAGGGCTGCTTTACTACAGTTTAACAGAAAAATGATTCATCCTCAGCTTTCCTCCACTCTGGTACCAGCTGGTCACCAGCCTACCAGTGACATCGTGTATTTCTCCTCTGGGTCCTAGATCTCCAGGAACAGACACAATTTCAAAATCCTTTATCATCTGATGTTTACATTGCTGACAGTCATTTAAGCTCCAAGGAGGAAAATGCAACACAGTCAGCAAGGACTGAAGGACGTATGAAAAGCGTGATCTGTGGAAGGACAAATGCGAGTGGAACACCTGGGAAGAGGCTTGGGCTCCCACAGCAGGAGGGTACGATACCTTGGCAGTGCTGTTGATGTCGTCAGGGTCTCCCTCCTCGCACTCCAGCAGTGTGACATGCGTGATGTTCTCCACCGGATTGGTCAGAGTCAGAAGGACTTGGCTCTCCTGGGGAGGTTCAAGAATCACAGTTCAAGCAGCAATTACTCTAAAATTCATCGTTACTCTTAGCACCTCCATCTTCTGTGACTGATCAACACCTTCAAAAACTGCACCACATATCCATCCCATCACGGGATGGCTAACGAACACCCTCAGTCCATAAGAAAAGCGTCAATGCCATGCAGCACTCTTTCTTAATGTAAGAAATATACATCTTTGGAATCTGGCCAAGATCTCAACTCCACGCCTTTCATTCTTCAGATATTGGTGTGTGCTTGTGATGCCAGATGTCACACTGCACGATAATCTGCTCCTGCAGAGTGACAAGTACATGCAGTGTTATCCCGACCACTCCCTTAATCCCCGCACCTTCTCTAAACAGGGCGAGCGAGGCCCTCAGGGTACAACCATCACACCATGTCATCTCCCAAGAAGATCCCACATCCACACCTCACCCTATGACATTTCTGGAAAAATCCACTGACCTTCATGTAGCGCAGGTTGGGAATAGACATGATTCTCACTTCAGGGATGTAGTTACTGCAATGAGAACAAAGCAAATGACCATGACTATAAGCGACCTCTTGAAGTAGAGAGATGTATTCAGAGACATCCATGTAACTCATTCAACGCTATTAGAGCTTAGCTTACATTAAAAAGAAAACTGAAGTGCCTTTTTGCTATATAAGCCTGATCCTAAAAACTCCTGCTACCGAGGGGGGCTGACACAGCCCGCAGTGCCCTTTTCAAACTGCTAAAATCTCCAGAAATCTTTTTAGTAGATCAGGAAACAAACCCGTTACAGATAAGCTAAATTTATTTTAAAAGCTGATTACACCATCCTAAGAGATGACTTGATCATACAAGAGGTCAAATCAAGAGTACAAAAGAAATTAAAACAGCAGGCATTATTGTCAGGTATTGTTCTCCCCAGTCCCCGTATCTTACTTACACAGCAACAAGCTGGATCTTGAATTTGATAGATGTTGGATTGAATTCTGGTTTGCTCAGGTTATGTTCACATTTCTAGACAGAAAGATATTTCAGTCAGCACCAAAAGACAGCGTCCAGCCACACACTGAACAATCAGAGCTTCAAGCACCACGCCACTAGCCAGGACATTACCGGCCTCCAGCGCAGCGCACATAAAGACTACCTTGGGATGCCTGTAGCCATAGCTGTGTCACGTCACTGATACTCCAAAAATGTCATATCCAGCACTATCAGTGCAATCTCAAAAGCATAAGATTTGGAACCAGGATTGAAAACACTTGCACACTTACTGAATGCAGCAGAAAGAAGGCACAAATACCTGCAAGCCCTTTGTCTTGCGCTTCAGAATCCATTAAAAAACACAAACAGCTGGAACTCAAAACTGATCTCCTCATAAGCTTCAAACACAGGCTCAGCCTGACATTACTTATTTCCAAGAAAATATTCTCCATTTGCAAAGCGTTCTGCATCTTACTTACAAGAATATTGTTCTATTTTTCTGGAAACTAGACAAATGTCCCTGTTTCACCAAGTAAGCAGGTGGCTTTTTAAAGACCAGGTAGTAAGCCAACAGCAGAACTTGGATTTAATTCTTGCCAGTCTTCACTTCTCAGCTCTCTGCTTTTCTCCTCTGAAATATCCTCCTTCTGCCTTCGCTCTAAGGGCATCTTCAGTATTCTGCACTGCCTCTCGCTAATGTTTGCTGACTTCATTTTCGTCTTTAGTAATAGCAGAAATTTGTTAATTCTGGCTGTACTGGCAGCCTTCTGTGACTCCTTGGCTAGGCAGGGCACACAGACCCTTATACAAACCCACCCCTGTACCTTTCTGCATCTTTGACAATGTTGTCTCCCCTTCACAATCTTCATCACATCAGAGATGTGACTGCCTCTCTCATCTCCCAGTGCTGTTACCAGTAATTTGGTTGAGAACGTTCAACAACCAGCAGCATTTCAGCAGTTTCTTTTAAGCAGAAATACACAGCCCGTTTCCCACCATCCAAGTTCGGTGAGCCTAGAAAAAGCAGGTTTTTGTATTGAATTACCCACCCGACAGCGCAGCGAACGTTTGATCAGGAGGTGCTTGTGACGCGGGTAGAGCTGGGAAGCACAGATCGGCTGGAAGTCGGGCTGCAGCAGGCGCTGACGCAGAGTCGTCACTGGGCACACAAAAGAAAGCAAGACCAAATCAACGTCTCACCCAGGGACCGCAACTCGAGCTAGACTGCACACCTGCACTGGCCTAAGAGCACTGTGTGCAGACGTGCTACAATCTCTAAGAAACTGAAGTTTCACCCGCACCCAGTAATTCAGAAGCCACCGGCAAGTGTCACTGTTTCTAGCAGTGAATGAATGGAAGGTAAGGGTTGGAGGAAGGGCTGCCCTGACTGGGCATGGTAAAGCTAGAGCAACAGCAGTGCCAGCCCAGGAGAAACAAGGGACCCTGATCTCTATTCAAAACTCAGCTGGGGTGGAAGCAGAATTTTGTAATCATCTAGAAAATAAGCTCTTTCCACCCCAGGGGCAAAGCAGTTGTCATAGCTTTGTCACCCTCACAGCTGGGTGCTGCAGGAGTACAATGAGTACAATATGCAGCTTCTCAGCAAGGAGTTTGCGTAACTCAGACTCACGCACAGAATTAGTGACTGCATAGTTCCTGAGGCAAGGGACTCCAGCAGCCAAACACCCTGTGGATTTCTCCCAAAAAGCAGGCTCCTCGCTGTTCCCGGTGTCTAACAGGCAGTGAGCCACCTGGCAGCCTTTCCCTCACTGCGGGGAACCATGAAAGCCGTCTTCTTTACCAGCACCACTCTCACAATGCTGACAGTCTCATGAGAAAGGGAGACCGAGACGATCCACCCCCTCCCATAAACCTTTCATGAATCAATTAACTCTGATGGACTTTGTAGGCCTGCAGGACTACCGAGAACACCTGTCCTACTCAGAGCCACCTCAGCACCAAGTCCACATCGCTTCCTGTATCTGCTGTTTTACCCCATTCGCTCCTAAGTTTTGTTGACCAATTTACAATATTTGCTCATTAAATCATAAGCGAGCTAAGTAACTGGCAAGTGTATGCAAGTCGTTCCAAGCTGATGTCGAAGTAATGCGCAATGGTTACTGAACAGGTCAGTTAAGTTTCCAGCTCCCCAGTAGCTCAGCTATTTCCTTATTTCCTGCTATTATTTGAAAAAGGACGTCAGCTCTTCTCTCCCTCCAAAAGTTGACACTTCATATGCAGAGAAATTAAGGTCAGCAAGAAAACAAAACAACCGTTACCAAGCCTGACGTATTTGGCTCTGAACTTTCCACATACAACACGAAGCTGAGGCTGCATTCCAAGTTACCATTTCAAAAGTCACAAAATTCCCACCGTTTCAATCCCAGCGTAAAGATTACTAAGACCTTGGGCCATTAGGAACCCCACTGACAAGTTTCCAGGCACTGTCCGTGTTATAAATTGCATGGGCAAAAAGTGACTGAAGATTGAGGTGTTACCTTCTGTCAGATTGATTGGTCTCGTGTAGTAATCCTCAGGAAGAGGTTCCACTTCTTCCACTGCATCAGCTGGCTCAATCTTGATCTCCTTCTGGTCCTCTCCTTCTTTCAGCCTGAAGCAAAGTGAAGGACAACTGGGTCATAAAATATGGCACACGTGTTCTGTCAAACAGCAGTGGCAGTAACTGCATTACAACATAGAAGGCAGCAAGAGCCGAGATTGCAAGACTGCGTGTTCTGTCAGACAGCAATGGCAGTAACTGCATTACAACACAGAAGGCAGCAAGAGCCGAGATTGCAAGACAACAGTAACTGCACATGGAGGTGAGCTGTCACTTGCTTCTATCAGGAGAAAGCAAAACATCTGGAGCTGCTGCACAGAGATGCTGGAGGATCTGATATCTAATACTCCAGAAAAAACGCTCCTTTCACTGCTATCTGCCAATACGTTCATCATCTTTCTGACAGAGGATCTGACATCTAATACTCCAAAGAAAAAAGCTCCTTCCACTGTTATCTGCCAATACGTTCATCATCTTTCTGAAGCTGCTTCACTGTTCTGTAGGAGGTTGCTTACACCTCCTACCCTTCCCAGAAAGGTAACCCCAACCCTGAGACTCACGAGAGTCCAGCGAGGGCACTGATCGGTGCTCCAGGCCTCTGGCGTTGCAGCCTGGTTCCCAAGCCGTATTTGTCCTACAAGGTAAAAAGGAAGTGTCAGCTTCAGGTCTGCTTCCTGCCAGGACAAAAAGACCTACTGCAAACTCATCCTCTGAGCTGCATGACAAGCATAGGGAAACAAGCAAAGAAAAGCAAAAAGGGAAAGGTATTCAATGCTTCCCGAGGTTTTTTTCCTGGCTCAAACTGTTAGTAAGGAGAAAACAATTACCACCGCACTGCAGACAGGGAAGAGACAGATGTGGCTACTGCTTATAAAGCCATTTCTCTTTCCTTACATCACCAGCCTGCACTACTGACACATTTTCCTTTGATCTTCTCTTCAGAGCAACTGGATGCCAACTAGCGCAGAACGAGAGCTCAACTGCTGAAAGAACTGGGTCAACGTGGGTATGCATCCACCTGAAATACTCCGTGGCCCTACCAGAAGCAGCTGGAAGGTTTAGCCTCCTCCAGGCCTTGTTACCTACAGGTGTCTCTCACTGGGCACCACCAGCTGGGAGGAACAGCTGAGCTACTCCTCAGCTTTCTACAGCTGCACTGTACACAGGGTGCCTGGAGGCAGAAATCTTCCTTCTGGGCAGGACCAAAAACCTGAATTCTGACAAAATGAGAAATGTGAGCCTACCCTGGTGATTTTCCATGGATCAGAAGACTAACGTTAGTGCCGTTTGCCTCAGGCAAACAGGCGGCTGTGTCCCAGCCGAGCTTTGCCAAGGACTCCATTTCACATGTATGTTACTTACCCAAAGACACTGCCCAATTCGTAAATAACAAAAATACTGTTTTGTAACAGATGTTATGTTCTAATCAGTTAGTCTCACATGGGTTTGTTCAAGGCACATCCAAATTGGAGGCCCTGAGGCAAGGTGAAGAGTAGGATCTGTTACTGCCCTTTGGTCGGTACCATGACAGCTTTAACACCAGCAGAAACCGTGAAAAGACTTACCACTACGTGTATAGTGTGTTGCTGTGGAGAGCGCCCAAAATAGCAGCAGGTAGCAACGGAGACAAAAAATGCAGCCATAAGACACAAGCAAGAGCACAGAGCAAGCACAGTTAATTGAGAAGTAGCAAGCATACGCAGAGTCATCCAGCTAAACAAAGTAAGCATTTACCTGCCAGTTACAGTAAACAAGTCATTCAGGGCACAACCAAGTCAAGGTTAATTTCAGTTGAGGCATCACATGGAAAAGCGCCAGACAATCCTGATCTAACTGCTGCAGAGCTGTGGTAGCAACTGTCCTGAGAAAGAGCTACCACCGGTATCATGATGGCGGTTACGCTGCATTTAACTGCTGATAACGTATTCCTCTGCGTGGCAAGTATAAACCCTTCTGGCATTATCAGAGAGGACTATCAGAGAGTCAGGCAATGTAATAGGCAATAATGGGTGTAAAACTACTTGTCCCTAAAGAAACCCCTGTGCCCTAGCACATTTTCTCCACGTTGTCCTCAATAAAGAAAGGCTGAGCAGCCCTATCATGCTACCAACTCGCTAATCTTTCACGCTGAGGCTGTTGTGCATCACTTCTCCTGCTCCAGACCCCAGTACTCCCAGCTCACCGAAAAGGCCAGGGGCATGTAGTTTCGGCGCCGCACCAGCTTCTTTCGGTCCCGCTCAATCTTCTCTTTCTGAGCCAACTGCTGGTAGTACTCCACCAGTTTGTTAATCTGGAGGGACGAAAAGGAACAGACACCCAGTGAACTGGGAACAAATGCCAGACCAGCTGCAGTACTTGGCTGTGAACAAGGTGGGGTTCCTGCTACTAGTTTTACTCTGTTCCTAGTACCAGTTGTATTTGGAAGGACATATATTAAAGAAGTCTCCATGTCTTAACCCACACCGTGAGGTACAAACTGATCCCCCTTTGGGAACGACGTCTATCGGAGAGCAGTGTCCAGTTCTCACTTTGTAGTTGGGCAACTGCAACTTTGTCCAAGCATTTGCCATGACTGAAGACAGTAATGTCATGTGGCCAAAGCCGAGCAATTTGGATTAGTGGGGCAAACAGCACTTTCTCCCCCACCCTGAGGCCGATGACATTTAGTGTAGCACCCTAACGGGTGACAGGGAAGAGTAGCAAAGGTGCAGTTCTGTTTTCCAGATCCTAGATGCACTCTTGGTCGGAAAACAGCTTTTGTTCACATACATACGCAGTATATTCATCGGTGTTGTTTTAACAGCACTATTAGTTATGGTGTTTGCAAATGAGTTTCTTCTGAAAAGGAGATTTTATACTGCGACATCCACGGGAGAGCCTCTAAGAGGCCTTCCTTCCACTGAATTCAGTCAAGGTGGAGATTAGGAACTGGAACTGGTATCTGAAGGATTATACAGATGCAGAAAAAGTGATCGAGAGGGCCTGGCGTCTCTAACAGCTCTTTCTAGCTGATGTATCTCAGCCTAAACACGGCCTCCCCCCTCACTCACCCGCTGTGTGTGAGGATTCTCCGGCTCCTGCCAGCCACCACTAGCTGCACGAGAAAGAGAAAAAACAAAGTCCTCAGGAGGAGATTTCCAGACTCCACACAGAAATCACATCTAACATCCAACTATCTTACTTTTACTCATGAAATATGACGTTCCTTATTTTTGCTACACTCGGCATTGCAATTCTTTAAGTTCACAGCTGCACAAACATACACCTCTGAAAGCCTTTCACAGGCAGGTTTGGGCTGAAGGAGCTTCGCCAGCTTTTATACTGTGTTTTTAAACAACTGCTGTTTGAGAGATACTCAGGCCAGCACCTAGGAGTCACTCTGGCAGCAGGTACATGAGTTTACAAGAACAGCCTCTTATTACTGGCTGCCCATGTCTCTGCATCTTCAGCTCCCAGCCTTCAGTCACAGCAACACTGGAAGTCAGAGGATCTGCTTGGTCTACTCAGCCCCATCTCTGGAGCCTGACAGGTACTTTCTGAATGTCTTATGCACCAAGAAAAAGATGAAAGCTTTGTTCTAGTAATGTCATGAAGAGAAAAACCAGGTACAAACACTGACTAGCAACTCTGGAATAAGCCTACATGATGGAAAATAAATTAGGTGTTTACGCTGTCAGACAAGAGTGGCTTCAAAGACTCTGAAGGTGCACAAACAGGATCTCAACCATGGCAAGAGCGCACCAACTAACAAAGCCCCTCATCTGACAGCTTTCTCACTAGTCAGGTAAGATGAGCATGGGAGCGGGTCACGTGTTTCACTAACTCATCTCAGCTCTTCAGAAGAGACTTCAGCAACAAACACTTTTCCTGTAGATTTCCAAGGGTGACTCAAAACTTAGACAGATATTACGTCTATCATACAACCAGAAAGCAATTTAATCATCTATTATCTTCAGAACACATACTGGGCTCCTGCTGTTACTCAGTTTTCTGTCTTTGACTGTCACTTACCGACAGACTTGTCTGCCATGCCAACATCCCGGGAAGTCCAGCGGCAAAATCCACAGGCCAGGTAATACGCTTTCTTCATGGTGGAGCCCGGGTGGAAAGGGTGTGCATGCAGCAGGGGCAGTCAAAGCAGTTAGCACACCTGCAAAGAGGAAGGCACTTCAGACACTGCCCTGGCAAGGGTCCTTGGCCGAGGACAATGCTCTAAACCAGCAAATCATGATTAAACCAACAGACCTTCTCATCTTATGCAAGAGCATTAAGGAAAAAGGGCAACAGAGCCATCAAGGGGAATAGGAGGGCTTCAGAGTCAACATAAGAATGGCAACAGCAAGAAATACTGGGTGATACTAAAAAACCCTTTCTAATAGGAGAGCAGGTCATCAAAAATACTAAACGTGATGTACCAGTGCAACACCCATCTACAAGCAGGACCGGAAGAAGGATCCTGGGAACTACAGGCCTGTCAGCCTGACCTCGGTGCCAGGGAAGATTATAGAGCGACTTATCCTGAGTGAGCTCACTGGGCATGTGCAGGACAGCCAGGGGATCAGGCCCAGCCAGCACGGGTTCATAAAAGCCAGGCCCTGCTTGAACAA